TATTCAGATAAAATTAAATTTTGCTAGTCCCTCTTGCGATTATTAGCGCCCTTCAACGCGTGAGGAACACACAATTTACGAAAAGTAAGACGACAATTATCGAGTTGCAATTGTTAAATATCGCATAAGTGTCCCTGGTCTATAGTAAAGGCGATACTTATCGCTTAGCAGAGACTAGCGAAATGTAAGACATGCGAAATTTAGTACTAAATTTCGCTCTTTAGAGGCGATAATTATTGCAAGCTTACTAGCCGAAATTTTGTTGACGACATAGGACACCGGGGTAACAAACAAAAAAATTAAAATACTTACTATAAAAATGAAAATGTCATCTATTGAAAGAAAATGGCACACTACCTTGGATTTTAATGAGAGATATACCGAAACAGGTATATCATTGTAGATTTTGGTTAATTTAAAATACTGTTCAGGTAATTACCTAATATGTGTCTACTATTTATCTGTTGATAAAGGTCACGTGACATTTAGTGAAGACGCACACGTTTGAGCTCTGAGATATTTTGTAATATACTGGCACAATTTTGTTTGGAATTTGTTAAATATATTTTAAACTTAATGGAAAATGAGTGCAAATGAAAATGAAAAAAAGGACTAATTTAAAATTAAAAGATTAAACTAAAAGTAGAACTATCATTTTTCAGACTATCTTTATTATGTGCTACTGAATTAAGCTTTGATAAGCAAATGCCAAATTAAAAATGAGAAAAAAACCTTTGAAACGATGCAATCGATTATTTTAAAACAGCAGCAATAAAATTGGAAATGCAAACTGTTTGCATTGATGTATAGGTGACGCCTTTGTTGTAAGTGTAACACAAAAAATCAATTTATATCCTTCGCTATAAAATTATAAATCGAATTTCAAAAAAAAAACCCCAAAAAAAACATGATAAAAAACATTCTGATTTGTATTTGCCGTGTGTAAGTAAGTATTCCCGTCCCCCCGGGTTTGAGTTAAAATATGATAAAAATTTCTTTTTAATTTAAAAATGTTTTATTTGTTTGGGCCTTTTTTTTTATAACAAAAACAAAAGAAAAACTTTTGCGATCAGCCACGTTTTCTACTAAAAGGGTTTTTTTCCCCCTTTAAAAAAATTCATTTTTCTTTTAATTTCAAGGCAGTCGGGTGCTAAAATAATTAAAAACTTACAAAAAGAAAAATGTTTTACGGGGTTTCCCCCTTTGGGAAATTTAAAAAACTTTAAAATGTCATCAAAAATATTTTTTAAAGTGTAATACTTTAGTATTTAAAAACCAAAAAAACGATTTAAATTTGATTAAATGTTTTTTAAATTTTTTTTTTAAAAAACAAAATTTTTCGTTTTTTTCAATTTTTTCAAAAGTCATTTTTAAATTTTTTTACTTTATAATGGTACGCTGTGGAATTTTCTACTTGTATAGTAAAAATTTATATCCAATCCCAAAACTAATCCCGAGCTATCAAAAATTTAAAAAGAAGAATAAAATTTTGTTTCAGCCTGCCCGAAAAATGTGTTTTTTAAGAAAAATTTAAACTTTTTTAAAGAAAACCAAAAATTTTGAATTTCTACTAAAAACGACTATGCTTTTTTGTACAAAAAAATATTTAACAAAAACCCGTAAAGGGAATCCTGCCAAAAAAAAAAAAGGATTTTGTTTTTTCAACCCAAAATTAAAAAAATGATGTCTCCGGGGTTATTTTTTAAAAAACCAAAAAATTTTAACTTTTTTTGCCCGAATTTTATTTTTATAAAAAATTTTAAGCGATTTTTTATTTTTTAACCTGAAAATAGAAACAAAGCTAGACGGTGTGCATTAGTTATTTGATATGTTAAGACTGGAAAAAAGGAAAAAATTGGATCCAAAAGGGATTGAGATTGGGAGATCATATTATGATTTAAACGCTAAAATATTATTGAAAACACTTTAAAGCCGTGAAAATAAATACTATTGTTTATATTATCTAATGTAGGTTTTTCCGGGAACTTCGGATTGAAATTGTTTTTTGAAAAATTAAAATAATAAAAAAAAAGGTTAAAATTTTTTCCGGATTAGAAATTTAGAATTTTCCTGTTTAGAAAATTTTGAACGAGATTTTTAAATTTGGGTTTCAAAAAATGATTTTATTTGTGAATAGCAATGTTAAAATCCTTATGGTTTGACAAAAAATTTTGGTTTTTACTTCAAAATAACAGGATTTGATTGTTTGGGGGGAAAAATGTAAAAAAAATTAACAAGCCCAAAGAAGGAGTCCCAATGAATGAATTGAGGGTTGAATTGTTTTTGGGAAACCGGGGGAAAAAAGGACTAAATTTTTTTAAAAGATATGATAAAAATTAACTTTTTTTAATATTTAAGAAAATCAAATTGTGCAAACGTTGAAAAGTGCACTTAAAAACATTTTAGGCAATTTCAAAGTTTGTGAAAAAAAAACACTTTCCTTTTGATCTTTCTTCATATTTTATGTCAAAAAGTTTGAGCGTGTTTGTTATATTAAATAAAAGTTAATGCCCCCGGGAAAAAACAAAAAATAATTATTCTCTAATTAACGCACTAATTTTCCCCAGTAATAGTGTATATAAGCCGGCACAAACCTTTCCCACAGGAATCACAGGTATTTACGGGGCAAAATGGGAAAATAAAGACATCATTAGTCCCTGTAAATATACATTCGTGTGTGCCAAACATTTCTTTGCCGAATTGTAAAACAAAAAGAAAGGTAAAAGGTAGCATTTTTGCTTTAAGCTTGTTTAGGGATATTAAGAATTAGCGTGTTTGTTCTAAGGAAGGCTGCAATTAATTTGTGTCAGCTTAGTACAAAAATATAAGTTTTAGCAGAGGGACTATGAAGAGACAATCCAAAAGTACAAGTTTCAATAAATCCCAGGTCATCGCATAAATAAAATTGATATAACAAAAACTTGAGGAAGGCGTAGGGTGGGATTGGGTATCTCCCCTGCATCTCGATAATAATCATATACTGATACAATGTCGAAAAAATGGAAAATTGAAATTCCGGTAATGAAAAACATAAAATCACATTTGTCTTTCAAAATAAATCAAGCGTTTCTTAAATCTAGGATTAAAGTAAGGATATTATCTGCCCCGCCGATGTCACAGTTTAGGTTTCAAAAAACGAGGTAATAATTTATATATACAAACTGATTTTTTACTGAAACAACAACACACTATTTTTTTTTCAGTAAAACAACTGTACATTAATATTGTAAGGCTGTGATACAAAATGCTGGAAACAAAAAATTAAAACAGTTCATTCCAAATGGGCAATGAAAACAGCTTTTAAAAGAGTATTCAACTCAACCTGCTGTTCCGTCTTACTTTTTTATCAAGTTAGTAGCTGTAATTTGATAGACAGAAAAATGCAGCGTTGAATATTGCATCGAACGTACTCGCCTTTAGAGAGTTTGAACGAAAACAGCTGTTGTTAATATAATTGCATTCAGAAGGACATTATTATGTTTTTCTCATACGTACAAGTATAACACAAAGAGCCGGCTTTTACACCGGCAGAGATAATGTTTAACCATGGCGGTGACGGCACTAGATTTCCTAGAAAATGGGCATATGTTTAATTAATTATTATCTTATTTTCTTTATTTGTCAAAAATGATTTCTTTTTGGGGAAAAAATCTCAATAGTAAAATTTTATTATTAAGTAAATCTTATATAAATGATGATGTTACTTACAATGTACTGATTCTAGTTCAGAACAAAATGTCTTCTTGTGAATTGAGTAAGAAAGTAATATTTTATCAGCTAGGAACAGTGTATTGTTTTCATTTGCATATAAAGTACTTTTAAAACTGACAATAAAAACCAAAATTTTCAATTTCAGCAAAATTTAGTACATTGAACTCTACCATATGCTACCATAAATTGTAAACCTTTATTGTTAAATCGTTAATTGTACTCCTCTTTTCACCTAAAAACCCTTATAATACTCTTGTTTCTCGATAATAATCAGTATATCACAACATTTCCCAAAAAAAACTTGTAACTGTCCATTTGCCTGATAGATGAACGCAAAGTCGAACAAAATGAAAAACGAAATGTCGGTAATGATAAAATCACATTTGTCTTCAAAATAAAACAAGGGTTTCTTAACCTTAATTAAAGAATGATATAATGTGCCGCCGATGTCACAGGTTCAGAAACGAGACATAGGGTACAACTCCTTTGACTGTAGCAACAACACATGTTTCTTTTATTTTAGTAAAACAGTATCTTAAATGTATATTTAAGGTTGTGGTAAAACACAGTGTAAACAAAATTAAAACATTATAAACGTGTCTTAAGCTCCGCCTGTTAAGAACACTTAAAAGTAGAAAGTGCATTTATATATAGAAATACTCCGGCCTAACTGAAGGGATATTTAATAGGTTGATCTAAATAGAAGATGCCTTAATGTTGTACATGAACGTTTTTTAACGTTTTTAAACTCACTATCATAATTTACCAGTAACTATTGTGTTTGTTCCATACTTCGTTTGATAAGCTGTAATTTGATAAACAAAAGGTGCAGGGAATATACATCGAACCAATCATAAAACTTCCTAGAAAAATGTACTTTGGTTACTTTAGAATATCTATTAAGCAGAATTTATTCAAGATAATTATGCAGTCTCTCTGCCAGAGACCAACCACTTTGATTATTAAGTATATGATTCAAAATAAGGCATTTATTTATAGCATTGAGAGATAATACTTTAGGCAAAGTAATTGAAATATTTATGTCTATAGCACATGGCCTTTTTAGGAGAATTGTGATTTATTTTACTTTGCTCCGCAGTCCAAACGATTTAAATTTTGTCTATTTTAGTACTGTTTATGATAGAACAAACAGAACAAATAGTTAACTGTGTTAGTGATAAGTAATTAAAATTTAAATCTTTCAGATGTTATATAATTATTTTTATGACTTTTTAGTGTCACTCATTACGACAAAAATCAAATCGAAAGCAATTTATTTATTTTCCTCCATGTTTGATACGTATGATCTCGGATCCCCTGCCTCCCGATTTACGGATCTATACTCACATAGTACTACTAATAACCAGGATAAGATGAAAAAGGTTCGTAGTACTCGAATAGAAAAAGAAGGTTTATCTCAATAGAAACTGTTTGTTTTCGAGACAAAAATGTCAAATTATAAATATTTTAAAGCGACAATTCGGTTTGTTTCAACTATTTTCTGTATTTGAATAACTATGTTACAATATTAGTACGACGGTGATTTTCTATTACTTTTGGAGGAATGCTGCTGTCTGTAATATCATTATATTCTTTGGTAGCAAAAAATATTTAAAAACAATTTGTTTTGATTCTCATATATTGACACATGTCAAACGTTATTCATATAATTCTTAAAATGCTATCATTTCTGGCATACAGGAGAATAGCAAAGATTGCTTTATATCATCGGCGGCGTCAAAGACTTCCGATATTCCCTTAGAAAACTCCGACTTACATCTGCATGGTAGCCGGAGAGATATTTGACCGTAAATACAAATTTTGGAAAGCAAATATTATGTCAATATTGCGTGCACTCGTATAATTTTACTTAAAATTCCTAAATGCAAGAATTGGTTGGTAGTCAATTGATTCAAAAGTCTCTTCATCCTACAAGGAAATGTGGGTTGTATAACAATTATTGTAAATATACGTTTCGTATTGAAATAACATTATATGATATTGATTAGATTGATATATTATAAAACCTTTTTAAGCAATATGATTCATTTATTATTTGAGTATAGCGTATATACTTAAACAACACATTTTGGTATATGGAAGAAAATATTCTAATTTCCAAGACAGCAATTGACAGAAAGGATCTTCTAATTCGGACTCTAAAAAGAAACTCTTTACAATTACTTTTTCAATTTTAGCACCATTTACCTTTTCATACCAGCTTCGATACACTAAAAAGTTTTGATTAAAATTATCAATTAATAGTTGAAAGATATAAAACATTCTATTAAATAATACCAATAATGACATTTATATTTCCTGTGATAACGATAATTTGGATGAAAATCTAATGGCTATGACATATTTTAGCTTCAATTGCTTTAATAAGGTCGTCTTGGAATAAACTACAATCAGTAATAGAACGCGTCCTTAATGCATTTTCTTTTTGTGTCAAATGGCTGCTTTTGTATGACGTCAAACAAATTTTCAAATGTTTAATGAATAATTTCGGTCATCAAAGTACGGGGAATGTGGTTAACAATTCACTGAATGAAAAAATCTGTATCTTATCTCACATTCAGTTTTTATCAATTGACCTTGCCGGCCAAAAAGTATTCAAAAATGTATTCAAGATCATACTTCAAGCTTGATAATTTAACAATAATCTTGCATATATATATCATAGAATATCTATGTTTAATAGTGCCACGTCAAGTATGTTCAGAACCAATTGTGCTACAAATAAACTTTCAATCTTTTTTTCTAGTTTGTGAAAGAACGACATATCCAAATAATTACTAAAACATTCATTTTATGTATCATATCAATAACACCGATTGATTTAGAAGCCTTCATATTCAAGACACTAAGTTTCAGGAAATAAAGAATCGTTAATTCAAAGCTTTTATCAATAAGCGTTATACGAATAATGTTCGACATCTTAAAGCAAAAGTACACAATCAATTATTCAACGAACCTAGCAATTTTCAAGCGCTTTCTGCTTGTTAGCACACACTATAATGAGAGACTATGAGATCGCAAGTTTCATCTTTAAAAGTAATTGAAAACCTGATCAAAGTTAAAAAGCTTCAAAATTGATTTACTTTAAAAGGAAATCTAAAATGAATTACAAAATTAGAGACACTTTCAGTGTTTCCCAACTACCTAGAGGTATACTTGTATAAAAACCTAGTTAATCCTTGCGTGTATCAGTGCTATACACTGGACAAATTTTGTTTGTTTGGATTTTTACGGCACGTCAACACATAACTGGCCATATCGTGCCGAATGCTATAATAGGCTTAAGAACCAAGGGGTCTATTCAATAAGAGCTAGAGACTGGTTCCCGGATTCCTTTGTATCTCATAGCGGTCTCTGGAGTCTGCTGAGGTAAGGACCCTACTGGAAAGAAGTGTTTGCACTTTCGTAGGTTATCCTTGAGCGCTCGGTGTAAAGAAATTCAATTCAATTACATGAAAAATATCACTTCTTCTTTCTAAAATGCTTGGACTTGCTTATACTTCATATTTAATAAGTATAAGTAATAGGTAACTCTAAATTATTCCATTCTTGAAGACTGTATAAATGATCTTGCACTGAAATTGTGTTTAATTTTGGACAAAATAAAACAACCAGTGTTAAGAAGCTGTATTACTCATTTACTAATGTTTTAAATATACGCTCTTATGAATAATAATGCCTTGATGTCTAGGAAATGGGATGTTTATTTTTTTTAACAAAATAACAATACGATTAAATTATCAGCATATTTTTTTGGTACTATTATTATATTACAGTCATTGTTATTGTAAAAACAGTTTCCAACGCTCGGTGTACAGGAATTCAAATGCATGAAATGACAACAAATGTCGAGACGGACTTTTGCCGTGTAAATTGCAATGTTATTTTAAAATACTGTAATACTTATGATTGTACGAGTTCCATTGTTTGGACCACGTAGCTGGTATGGACATTTTAGTGTGCTACAACAGAAAAGAAGCCGGGGTTGATGACTGAAAGGAACATCTTAAATTTAAGTATTTATTTTTTACCTTTTAGGAACATTATAACGCAATAAGAATATTCAAAATAGTGAAGTAATTGGTTCTTTTATGCGATCATGCTAGTGAGAAAGCTAAACAGTTTTATTAAAAAGACATGCAATAACATGGTGCAAGATTAATTGTACATCATTATTTCGTCAAAAGAATTCAGTAATAAAAATATTTTTAGACTTAAAACAAATCTGTTTCATCATTTCAAAGCAATGATTTGGACATATTTGTCAGAATATTATATACTTAAAACGTAAAAACTAAAAGTATCTACTTCTTTACTCTGCATATCTTCTATGACATATCATTTATCAATATAATGATAAGAAATAAGATTGATTACAAACCGTACTTGTTCAGATGCAAATAATGTATGCAGATATGTCTTCCACTCTTGTTATTGAAACTATTTAAAGATAAATATTGGTCCTGATATTGATTTTCATCATTATACAATGCCAACGTGGAGAAGTACATGTATACAATTATACGAGATAATGTATCTTAAAATCTTTTCTGAATAATAAAATCAAAATAACATCACTATCTTAGTATGACAAGTAATACAGGTTTTTAATATCCTAAAGTGTGAAGATCTGAGTACCTGGCAATGTGAAATAGAGTTTGATACTGCTGTTTGACCGACAAGAATACCAAAATTAATTTTTTACATGGACAATAAAATGACCAGCTGTATTTCATTAGGTTTTGTTGAACATATAACTTTCAGAATAGAAAACTTCCTATGTATAAAATCATTAGTAAAGTGTTGTTATACATGCAACAACTAGAAAAAAAGAAAGATATTTATTGACATAATATTTTTTTTATAAATTTTAAAGAGAGTAAAGCAACATGTGATTCTAAGCATTACCAGGGAAATCTAGAAAACATATATATCATTATTTCCTCTTGTCAGTGTTTATAAAAACACGATTCAAATCTCCGATATGATATTATTTTACATTTATTTTATTTCTCTTTTTTTTTGTTGGGAATCTTTTTAGAAATAATTGTTAATGTCAATGGTTAAGGACAGATTTTTACCACATTTATTTTTAGACATAAAGAATATTTATATCTATAGAACTAAATTTTAATTTAATAATTTAATATTATTGTATTATTGTTAGTCCTAACAGAATTCAAAGTGATTGAAATCTTAAAGGAGTAAAAAGAATAAGGGTGAAGCTTTTAATGTATGTATCCGTCTTATCAAAAACATAATTTAACTTGATTTCAAATATTAGTCAATTATTGAACTTGCAATTTATATCTGTCTTGTTTTCATTGTTTATAAACTGTTATTTATATAATTGCACTCCGACAATTAGTAAGCATTTAAATGTATGCAAAACGCAATAACATCAGCACATTAAGTCACAAATTACATTTTTGTATTCACATTAGTTTCTTTTTATTAAAAAATACATTTTGAAGATTACTGAAAACTGTGCACAATTTCCACGTCTCTCGAGATGTCAGAATTCATGACTAGTGCGATGTTTTTCTGTCAAACAGAATCTCGTTATTCATAATTTATCATTGTTTACAAAAAGGGAAGTTAATGATAATTTTATGCAACTGGAAGGCAAAAATGCTTCAACTGGCTTAAACAGACGCCGCATTGAGGAATGATATTTACATACTTTCTTTTGGGAATACAATTTGCAAAATATTACCACCACCACATTCTATTTTATATCAATAACTATAAAGTTTGAAATTATAGTTTACGTTCTTCCTGTTTAAAATACCTCATGACCAGAAATAAAGCAAACAATTAGAAATCATTCCTTTGATATTTGTCAAAAAGAAGAGGGACAAACTTTAAGAGAATGACAAAATTTATAGGAGCTTTATAAAACATATTGAAACATTTCGGTTCGGAAGAATAGTTTACTCTGGATAACATATGGTCCTTGCACTTTGATAATTAGATAAATATATAGGTAACTACGTCAATGATATCAAGTTTTGCATTCTTATGATGAACAGTTACACACTCAGTTGTATATTCATTAATGAAATAATAAAATCTTAGGTTCGTATTTCGTTGCTTTTAGAAGATAGTACATGTTTAAAGGGACTCTGCAATGATAAAAAGCTGAAGTTTAAAAGCTTTTATATTTGTTATAAGATTGTTAAAATTTGAGTTATTATTACAGTAAAATATTTTGAATTGATTTTGCGCTATAAGTATAGTGAAACTCTTTGGTACACGTTTTCTATATTATCGAAAACGACGTACGCACAGCACGGTACGGTACGGCACTGACAGTTACTACGGTAGTGATAATATTTTTGTAATCATCGTCGACTACAACTACAGTAAAAACAAAATGTCATATCTTCATATTTCAGTGAATACATGTGTTTGGTCTTTTCCGTATTAATATTATACAAGTGCATTTTCCTTTTTTTCAGACGACCATTAAGCCAAAGCAGCCAGCAGCAGTAGTTGCTAGAGGCCGGGGTCAGACCCGGACGAAAGACCCTCAACCAGTTCAAAGTGAACAGCCTGCAGCAGCAGATAACATAGGGTCCCCAGAGGAACAACAACAGCCGCCTGAAGAGGTATTGAACAATTTTTATGAGTGGAGCACCACATTAAATACGGAATGAACTTCAAAATGTTTACAGTGTCAAATTCATCTCTTTATACCGATTATTATATGATAAATTTAATGAAAAATTTAAAAATGCTGCAAACTTCCTTCATTACAGAAAAAAATATTAACTTTATATTTATGTTGTATAGACGTATTTAAGGACAGTACAAACATGAAGCATTATAATTATAAAGTTGATGTACTGTATCTTATGAAAACCCATGAAACAAAGTGAAGTGTAATAAGTACATGTAAATATCTTTAAAAGTGACCACATATTAAATTAGTCTCAATTCAAATTCATTTCCAAAATCCGGAAATTGAAAAAGATGTGGATGAATATTATACTTATGATTGTAAAAACTTCAAAATGTCAGTATCCCACGGGTGTTCGGTTTTCAGAAGTTACACTGTAATTAATTACATTTCTTATTTTATTCTTAACACTCATTTTTTTTTCAATTACAGACAACAGAACAGCCTGCTACCGTAATTTCGCAATCAGATATTCAGCAACAAGTTCAACAAGAAGACCAACAACATCAACAGCCACCCGAAGAGGTATGGTACACTTTAAAACACCAATAAAGTATGTCTTATAAGCTCAATTTGACACAATAAGATTACGAACACAACAAATGTTGATACATGTACATGTATATACATGTACAGCACTGTCGATTTAAACTATCGGACATATTTCTGCTGTCTACTTAATCAATATCTGAATATATGTATAAATACATTTGTATCAAATAGATTGTGTTATATACATACAAGAATCTACTATAATATAACAGTATTACAGTACGTTATGAAAATACCGGGAAATGGAACCTCCAGTCTAAATTTTCTTCATTCAGTCGTGACATTAAAGCAGCAGTCTCCAGATTCATATTTATTATCATAAAAAAAATGAAATGTATTTAAAAGTAAAATAATGTGAGGTGAACAATTAAAGTGGTAAACATATGCAAAAGCAGCTCTTACTGCGTTAGTAACGCGGTAGAAGTATGGTGATTTCTTAAAAGATTAGTGCATTTTCCTCAATATTGATTTTTTGAATTTTTTTGGCTCATTTGAATAATTGATATGATATATCATACATTTGCTCAGACTTATTTTTCGAATTACAGGAAACTGAAACACCAAGTAGACCACTTTTTAGAATAAGTCGTCAGGCAGCTACGCCAACACATCAGTTGATGGCCTCATTCATGACGTCCATGGAGGCGCATGCGAGACAGGCAGCAAGAGAGCGGCACCGTTTACTCAAAGGTATGGAGAGCCTAGCTAGACAAAATCAGAAGTTGACGGAAGAGGTTTTGGCCCTCCGTGGGTTGGTGGACGGTCTTGTGGTCACCACAGGTCAGTGTACGAGAAGTAGGGTACCACCAAGTGAAACAATGTCTGTTGGTCCAGCCAGTCTTGGTGAAATGACAGAAGGGCTCCCAGAGGAACTTATTATCAATGAGGAGGAACTTAGACAGGTACACAGGGACTCAAACAACGCTGGCCATTTTGCAGCGTTGTTGGTGAAGAAGCTCTTCCCTGAACTCTATGGCCCGACGAACCTAAGGCTGAACTATAATTGGTATGGTGGGGGCCAAAAGAAAAAGTATGAACTTGATGCTTCAAGAAAGGAGGTTATTAAACGGTATGTCACCTTTTTTCACCCCGAGGTCTGTGACAGTGACGTATGGAGGGATAGGGTAGTCCCCAAAGTAAATGAATCACTCAGAAGATTGGAAAAGAGAAAACCGCTTCAAGAAAATTTGGGAGACGTAAATATTAGTGTTTCACCATCAGCATTTGGGGGACTCATGCAGTACATGAATCTGTAGATACATAAGTGATGGTGAACGATGGAAAACGTTGTGAAAGTGCTTTGTATATATTATATGTTCTGTAATAAAAAGTTGTGTATGTGCTTTGTATATATTATATGTTATGTAATAAAAAGTTGTGTATGTGCTTTGTATATATTATATGTTCTGTAATTGTGTATGTGTTTTAATTTTTGTATTCAGTTCATATTCTGTTATAAAAAATGTTGTGTATATGTCTTGTTTTCATTATATGTTTGGTGCTAGGGGGCGTGGACGGTAACTTGCACTTTCCAGTACCGTCCATGAACAGGCTCAATCAAACCGAGCCTGCAACATTTTCAATTTTGCCGTGTTGGGCTTTCTTTAGGGATTCTGTATTTATCTATTTTGTAATAAAAAAGTTGTGTGTTCATTTTATGTTGTATAATAAAGAAAGTTGTGTATGTGACATCTTGTTTTCATTATATGTTTGTTATTAAAAGTTGTGTTAGCCTACATGTGTGTTGTTGTTTTTTTGTTTTGTTCTTTCATAAGAAACAGTCAAATATTTTCATAAACAGTAAAACGTTTTCATAATCTTACGGCCAAATGTATTTCGTCTATCAACATGAATATTGAAATGATAAAATGTTTCTGAGTAAAAATTTTTGTTTTAATTTTTGGACGGCCGTTAAGAAATTATATCTTATTATAAAAAAACTTCTGAGGACGAGTAATAATTTCTGTTTATACTATGCCTTTCATCTGTTATTCTGTTCTGTTAATTACATTTATGAATTATGGCGGTTTATTTTCAAAATTACCAAATGAATAAATATTTTTAATCGTTCAAAAACATACCAGATGGCCAGTCATCAATCCAGTTGATCCCGTTGGTGGTCATGAATTCTTTGGCCAGTTTGGAACGATGTTTTGGATCATTGTCCTGTTGAAACCTATGGCCGTTTGGGAAGTGTTCCCTTACAAATGGAAGGACAGTGGCACCTAGAATTTCATTGGTGAAAAACGTTTTCTCCATTATACCACCAAACACAACTAATTCTGTCGTACCTCGGCGACTTATCCCGCCCCAAACATGTAGCTTTGGTGGGTGCTTTGGCTTGGGTATAACAATGTTGGCTGTACCTTCTGGATGGTAAGCTGCTGGTTTATGGTGGTGAAGAAAGACGGTGCTTTCGTCACTAAATATCATGTCGTCAAGGGAATCATTCCGGTTGATAAGTCTTTGACAAAATAGAACACGTTTCTCTTTATTTACATCTCGCACCATCTGTCCGTATCTCGGCCTAGATGCCGTATAACCTAGGGATTTGATAACTTTCCGTGTGGTTGTCAATGATAAGTTATAACCATCAGTCATAAGTTCTTTATGAACATCTCTACATGATTGTAAGGCATTTAACTTTAAAGATTTTTCAATAAGGTCAGCGTCTCTCTGTGAAACCTTTTTACACTCACTCACTTTTGACTCGATCTCGCCTGGGTTAAATGACCCATTCAGATACTGGCGAATCCAATAATTAATGTTTTGTCTGGATAAAGAAACTCCTTTAGACTCTAAATTCCTCTGAATTTGAATATTTTTCAAACCACTTGTGTACAGCCGTACAATTTCAAGTTTATCAAAATGTGCCACTTTAACCATTTTTAAGTTTACATTATACGATCTTTTTAAACTTTATTTATATAAAGAGCGATGTAACTCACAATTAATTTATATAAAGAGCGATGTAACTCACTTAATTGTAAACTTACACGTTATAAAGATAAAAGTCTTAGCTCATAGAAACAAATAGAAAATTCGTAATATCTAACTAATTACTAAAGACGCAAATTAAATGCAAAGCATTTAAAGAACTCTCTTTGTGTAGCACAAACGAATTATGAATATTTATGTATAATACTACTATTTAAGTACATATTAAGTAGCGGCGACATGTCCCCTTTTCACACATACAATATCTGACAATATAGAAAATATGACAATATACAATATCTGACAATATACAATATCCGACAATATCTGACATGATGGCAAAGAGAACCTTTTTGAATTTGTGTCAAATATATTTACGGTATGTACAGTATACATAAACTTTTTGGCAAGTGTCATGCATATTTCTCATGTCCATTTTCGACGGGGTTTTTACTGAAAAAAAAACACAAACAAACAAGTCTACCCGTTTTTAAAGAATATAATTGCATACAAATAAAATCTTATAGATGGTTTAAATATCTGTTCCTTTTATTTCTAATATATGTACATGTATTTTATTTATGTCCTGTCTTGTATTCACACTCATCGACCTCTTACAGGACATGTACTGTAGCGTCAGTCATCATTGAGAAGAAATCAGCACAAATGTCCTTTTTTTTTAACTAAGTATCATATTTATGGCTCCCATATAGTTTAACAGCAATAATACTTATAGAACCACAAGGAATGAACAAGTAAAGATGACAGTGATAAATGACGATTTCAGTTGTAAAAATATTGTATGTGGTGACGAATAGTTTTGTGGACGTTTATAACAAAAAATATTAAAAACAACAACAAAATCAGGTACAGCTGTAATTATTTTTATTTCAAATTCCGTTCAAATAATTTAACGTATAATAACATTTAAGGAGACGATTGTGGTCAATTTTCAAGTCATTGTGTAAAAAAGATGACGTTAAAAATAATAAAAACGTCTATTATTTTTGGAGGTTAATTTATACTGACCAACTGACCATGGCGTTCCCCCGCGGGAAACGGGTGACTGATTTTATCGATAAATGAAGAACGGTCGTCAGAATTTTGTCCGCGGTGGAAACAACTGAACACCGTGGATCGCGGGGATTTAGGCTTCTCATCGCGGACGAACCCCCCGCGATTGTCCGCGATAAAAAAAATCGTCCGCGGTGGTATCGCGGAAAAAGCAAAATCCGCGGTGAGCGTACTGTAGCTAACATTGTCAACGACACAATATAAGCTAACTATTCAAAATATTTTATATTAATATTAATTTTAAGTAGTTTCCAAATGTGAGTCCAAAATGTAAAAATGAATTCTTTTAAATATATATGCATTATATAACCATTTGTTAATTATATCATCGCTTACTTTTTTCTTCCCTCTGTCTCCTCTTTTACAATGTGTCTGTTTATTTATTTTAGTTGTCAGTTTCAAAAGAAAAAGCTTGTAGCTTTCTACTCAATTCTTTTTAGTATTTGAAATAAAACCTTGTTTAAACCTTCTTTAAAAGAAAATGCAATTTACTTAGAGTCAAAGACAAATGGGCGTTGTTTTTTTGTGTGTGTTATTTCTTTTTAACCTGTTGACAAATCTTTTAACTTAATTTAGTTTGTACCCCGTTGTAACAAAGAAATATTAAACGATGTACTTACATTCGGACAGAGCCTAAATAAAAAAGAGAATATTATTAATTGACAAATCAACAAACTTATCAAACAACTCTTGCATTTTCAAAGAATTCTGAGTTTCTTTATTGACAAAAGAATATTTTATTAAACTGCTTGAAATTTTGTTTTGTGACAAAGAATAAATCCGGACAACATAAACTAAGATTTAAGTTGTCTGCCCTTGAATCAAGTGCAACTAACTCAAGAGATCGACGACCCCCAATTTATGAGACACTTAACATGTTCTTTAATTCTTTTCTTAGAAATAACTCCTGTGGAAAAAATTTTATTTTGTCTGTATGAAAACAATTTTATCAAAACTGTCTTTTTGTTTTGGAAGCAGCCGCAGCGATTAGATTGGAAATTGAAAATATGTATATATGTATAGGTGACGCTTTTCGCTATATTTGTTACACATAAATACTCACTTTGTTTTTTTCGCCATCAGTGAACTGGTCTTTTGATAACATTAAGTAGAACAAGATATGCATTTCTTGATCTGTGTTTAAAAGAAATGTTGATTGATTGAAATTCCGTCGTTCTGTGGACATTGACTTTTCGCTAGATATTAAGCCCATTTGTAAGAAAATAAACCATTTAGTGGTTGTTACAGTTCTCGAAATCATTAAGATAATAACGAAATAAATAAACAACATTTTTAGGCAATTTAAATTCAAGTTAAAAATTGAGTATTAAATTGTGTATCCCTTTTCTTGGGATATTTGAGATTGCTTCAGACGATGATATTGATAGAAACATTCAGGAAATATTTGTATTTGCCATATGTAAGAAAGTATTCTTCCCGGTGAGTAATATATGATACAAACGGTTTTAGTTGTAGAAAATACTATTCTGTTCTGTAACATTACCAAGAACACTATATTTGGCCTCCTTTGATACAAGGACAAGATTATGCAACCACTCATTTTACTCAGAGTACCTAAAGTATTTTAAGTAATTGTTTTCTATAAACAGACATATCTCTAATTATATTAACTTACTTCACGTAAAAATAAATACAGGTGTCGGTTAAGTATTGTAAGTGAAACGATATTTGACATGAATTGTTTGGACGCTGAAAAGGGAAATGAGACTAGAAATAGTGCACAGGTGACTTGATATGGACTGTCAAAGCAAATAAATTGAAAACAGATATGATTTAATAATGATTTTTATTTGGACATGCAATGATGATAACGCTGAAAAAAATTACTTACTTACATATAAGAAGTCATATTCAGAATACAATGTACTTAAGTTATAAGCCTAAAAGTACACTGTAGTTAAAAACATCAACATCGATTTGACTTGAATATTTGTAGTTAAAACATTTAAAGGTTTTGTTAACATCAACATTGATTTGAACTTGATATTTGTAGTTAAGGTATTAAAAAAAAGATCAAGGTTTATATTTCAAAAGCTTGAGCGTGTCTGTAATATTAATGAGGTTCTGATCTATCTAATGAAGTTATTGCTCTGGAAAAAAACAACATCTATCTTATATTCCAATACTGCGTACTTTTTCCCAGCTTCAAGCGTTTATAATCCGGCATGAGATTTACACAAATCCTTTCATCAGAATCACGGTATTAAACAAAATGAGAAATAAA